TACTCTGTGCTTATATAAACACTATATAAAGTCAAACTTCCTTAAACTAAGTTTAATTACCCTTAATTTGAGCAGGTAAATGAGGTAGTTTGCCAATGGAATGAGTATTCTTATTCTTAAAATAAGATAATTACATAATATGCACTTGAAATATGACAATGTAATTGTGTTTTCTTATTTTAAATGTAAATTGTCTTGTTCCATTTGCAAAATGTTTCTTTTACCTCCTCAATCCAAGAGGAGGTCAATTATTTCAAGAAAAAATAACTTATCTAGAATTGGATTTTTTTCTAGTGTACGAGTTATATTCTAACATACATAGTCTCTGTACACATGTAGATAAATATTTATATCCTGTAAAGCCCTTCTGTACGGAAGCCCAGAGCGGCCATGTCTCTTTTTCACGGTGTTTTTCTGAGAAAACAAGTTAATTTTCTCATTATCTAAAGATAACAAAGCTGTTTTCTCTTGATAATGAGATGATAATTTTCTCATTAGAAAGTCGTTTTCTCGCCATTTTTCATTTTGCAGCATCAGTTAAAGCTACTCCCCTCCAGAGCGGCGATGATACCGTGCACCCAAAACAACACAGAAAAAGGAAAAAGAATAAATAAAAAGGAAGAAAGAAGTTTTTTGGCAGCAGCAGATTGAGCGTCATGTCTGCTAGGAAGGTTATTGGTGGTGGGCGTGAACGCAGGGAGAATCCATCACTCACCTTCCGGCTCACCCTATGATGAGGATGAAGTCTGGAGGAGAAGTTAGTCAGAGGTTCTGGATAAGCTAGCGCCACGATTTATGTAGAACTGACACTGAACGCACTGCAAAAACAATCTAGAAAAAAGTAAAAATTCCTTCAATCAAGTGTATTTTACCTTAATTTTAGTAGGTAAATGGGATGATTTGCCAATGGAATGAGTATTGTTACTCTTAAAATAAGATAATTAGATAATATGCACTTGTAATAAGACAATACAGTTGCTTTTTCTTATTTTAAATGTAAATTATCTTGGTTCATTGGCAAAGTGTCTCACTTATCTCCTCAATTCAAGAGCAAATGCACTTAGTTTAGGAACAAATTAATTATTTAGATTTAAATTTTTTGCAGTGCGTATGTCAACCATCAGATAACTGACCTGGAACTGATGCCCCATGTATGGCAGACGCTGGCATATGGCGGGCATAACTTACAGGTGCTCGCCGTTTGGCGACGGTATCCCTCAGCATGCTCATAACTTATCCAATGAATGCCATCTTTTTTGCCAGATTTTCCGTATGTCAGGCCACTGGAAAAACATTCTAGAAATAAGTAAGAAATATCTAAGTGTATTTACCCTTAATTTGAGTAGGTAAATGAGATAGTTTGCCAATGGACTTAGTGTTTTTACTCTTAAAATAAGATAATTAGAAAATATGCACTTGAAATAAGACGATGCAATTGTGTTTTCTTATTTTAAGTGTAAATTTACTTGTTGCATTGGCAAAATGTCTCCTTAACCTCCTCGATCCAAGAACAAATGCACTTATTTTAAAAAAAAATGACTTATCTAGATTTCGACAGGAGCTGTAACCTGAAATTTCAGAGGCTTAAACCAGAGCTGAGCTTAAAATCTGTCTCATGTTTACCTAAAAAAAACAGCCTGATGATCCCTGAAATGTTGGCGAAACTCTTCTGTTTACTGATGAGACTCAAACTTCTACCTCATTAATCTGATGCCAAACCATTGGCCATTTGATATTTAGATTATAAAGCCTAGAAATAAAAACAAATTAAGAGTGTTTGTTTTATCCTGAAGGTGGTTAAAGTTCAGACATTCCAGATTCGCTCTTATTCTCCTGAATAGAGACAAGGCTGAGTGTGAAACGCAGAAGCTGATCGGCTCAGATTATAATCTGCTGAGTCATCGTTTACATCAGCGAGACCTTTAACTTGTCTTAGATGATGGGTTTGGTCTGTGATTCTCATTTTGTTTTCATTTAATGAACTTTATTTTCAGTTCTGTGGAGATAAACTGGATTTAGCTAAAGGAGTTGAGTTAAAGAGGCAAAATCAACCAAAATTTAAAGTTTCCTCTTTGTCTTAAGGTGAAAAGTCCATCTCAGTCAGAGCATTCAGAGAACACAGACTTCCTGTGGGACACTCTGTTTGAAAAGACGATGGGCAGCAAGGTGGAAATAGGAGAATATCGACTTCCGGTTTGGGCTGGAACCTGGAAGATCATGAACTTTCCCTTCAGGCAGCAGAAGAAGAACTGGGACTGTGGTTGGGAAAACTACCAGCAGGATCCAAGCAGCAGGACGGACAAACTCTGCCTGATTGAGCAACAGATCGATCAGGTGGGGGGGAATGCATTGTTCTGCTGTTTCCTGGTTTCAGCAACAAACTTGATGACCAGAACAAACATCTGTGTTCTTAAAATCAGGAGGAGCCTGAAGGCTGGGAGGACTCATGGAAACTCTCTGGAGCAGAGTTTGATGCAGAAGATGCAGAGGAGGAGAGCTTTTGCATCAGTAAAGGCACATTGGCAGTGAGCATGAATGAGTGGCTGATGCCAGGATGGAGCAGATGCTGCCTGCTGGCTGCAGCTCCTCCTGAAGACTTCGAGGAACGAAAGAAAAGCTGGAGTTCCAGTTGGGGATTCCAGCAGCAGATCAGGTGGGTTCAGATCGGCTGCTTTCTACTGAAAACATATATCTGATTCCATTGGTTCATATCAATCCATCATGTATTTTAGACTAAAAAATCATCTAAAGATGACATTTTTAGGACGTTTATCCGGTTTGTAACTTTTCCATTCGAGGTCAAATTACTTCAAAACCAACCTGGGATTAAAATACTAAATCCAGGATAATCCAAGGAGGTGATTTGTCCCGTTCTTAGACAAATTTTATCCTCATCTTGTTTACAAACAGTGTACACAAAGTGAAATGAGGATGCATACGGCTTTTCAACAGTGAATGAGCAGCTTAGCAGTGAAAATGAACATTTCCATTTTTAAATTGCAACCATGATCAGAAACAGTGTAGGAGAAAAGGAAAAGCAGTTTAAAGTCATGGTGCAAAAGGCATTGATATGGAAAGAGGTCAATCATCCAATCGTTTGGTTCAATTTACCAAAGGCCCTAATACAACCATACATCATCACAGAGGTTTATTTCCCCAAGAATCTTCTGGGAAGAAGAACTTCCCTCTTTGATTTCACACAGGAAAGAAAAACAGGAGAATTTCAGGGTGAAAGAAATGTAGACCTGATGGATGGATGGATGGATGGATGAAGGATGGATGATGGATGGATGGATGGATGGATGGATGGATGGATGATGGATGGATGATGGATGGATGGATGGATGATGGATGGATGGATGGATGGATGATGGATGGATGATGGATGGATGGACGAAGGATCGAATGTTTTTCTATGAATCTCCTCAGTTTCCAATCTGAACTCTGACCCTCTCCTCCTCAGATGGTGCAGCGGTTCCATCTCCTCTCATCACAAACACAGCAGCAATCTGAGCAGGAGAAGGAGAACCATAACCTCCCTCCTCACAGACAGCCTCTCTGAGGAGAGCACTGACCTCAGCGAGTGGACGGAGGCCTGGAAGGCTCCAAAAGCACAGAGTAAACTAGAAGCTGATGATGAGCTGGATGAAGAGGAAACAGAGAGTGAAACTGAGGAAAATGAGGAAGATGAAGCAGATGACAGCCAGGATGAGGAAGAAGAAGATGAAGAGGATGAAGGAATGGAGGAAGAGAAAGATGAAGAGGAGGAGGAACAATTTAACAGAGATGAGGAGAAGAAGGAGGAGAGCAGGAATAAAATATTCCAAGATTTTAACAGGAAGATTGAGCAGGAAATAGATGATGAGGAGGAAGATGAAGGTTTAGATGAGGAGGAGGAAGATGATGAAGATGATAAAGAGAAAGAAAATGACAAAACAGAGAGAGGAGAGGATGACGAGGAGGAGGAAGAGGAGGAAGAAGAGAGTGAAGAAGAGGCTGTCATCACAACGAAGGAGAGGGAGGAAGAAGTCACTGAAGAGGAGGAAGAGGAAGGTGAAGGAAAATTGGACAGTGGTGATGAAGAGGAGAAAGAAAAAAACGATTCAGCTGAAAAAGAAAGAAAGGAAAAGATCAATGAGGGTGATGAAGAATTATATGAGGAAGAGGAGGAAAACTCCAAAACAAAAACAATCGAGTTTCCAGAATCTATTACTGATCAGGAGAAGGAGATGGCAGAGGAGCATGAGGAGGAGGAGGAGGAAGAGAAGGAGGAGGAGGAGGAGGAAGAGGAGGAGGAGGAGGAGAAAGAGGAGAATGAGATTACAGAGAAGCATGAGGAAGAGAATGAGGATGATGAGGAGCAGGAGGAGGAGAAAGAGGAGAAGGAGATGGCAGAGGAGCATGAGGAGAAGGAGTCAGGGAATCTTGCTAAAAAAGAGGAAATAGGACAGGAAAACAACAGAGCAGGAAATGATGAGGAGGAGGGAAGGAAAACAACCAAAGAGGAAGAAGAACAGGAAGATGAAACGGACGATGAAGAAGAGGAGGAGGATTTTCTGGACTTTGATGATGAAAGAAGTGAAAATAAACAAGAAGAAGAAGAAGAAGAAGAAGAGAAGCAGATACATGAATTAAAGAAGAAGAATAAATGTGAGGATGAGGAGGGACAGGAAACGGAAGAGGAATATGAAGATGCAGATGAAGAAGGCCCGGGGAAGGAAAAAGCAAACCAGCATGATGAAGATTTGAACCTGGAAGAGGAGGAGGAGGAGGAGAAGGAGGAGGAGAAGGAGGAGGAGCAGGAGGAGGAAGAAAAGATTTACACAGAGGAAAAACAGAAAAATGAAGATGATGATGATGATGATGATTGCCAGGAGTTAGATGAGGAAGAGGTGCAAGACCAAAAACTGAAAAGAGAAGAAGAGGAGGAGGACAAAAACAGAAAACAAATGTTTGAGGAAGATGGTGAAGAGGAAGATGACCAGATTCACAGTCTGGAAGATGAAGATCAGGAGAAGAAAGACAACGATGAAGAGGAAGAAGATAAGATGGAAGAAAACAAAGACCCAAAGGAGAAAAATGATGAAGAGGAGGAGGATGAAGATGCAGCCATTCACAGGAAGGAGAAGGAAACAGAGAGCCGGACGAGGAGTTCAGAGGAGGAAGGCAAGGAGGAGGAGGAAAGCTGTAAAGAAGAGGAGGATGAAGAAGTAGACCAAGAGGAAGAGGATGACAAAGATGAAGAGGTTGAAGAAATAAACAAAGAAAAGGAGGAGAAGGAGGAGGAAAAGCAGGAGGAGGAGGAGGAGGAGGAGGAGGAGGAGGAAGAGCAGCAGGAGGAGGAGGATGAAAGCTGTGAAGAAGAGGAGGATGAAGAAGTAGACCAAGAGAAAGTGGATCACAAAGATGAAGTGGTCGAAGAAATAAACAAAGAAAAGGAGCAGGAGGAGGAGCAGGAGGAAGAGGAGCAGGAGGAGGTTTATGGAGATGAAAATAAAGAGACAGAAGAGCGACGCAGGCAAAAGAAGAAGAAACGAGTCCAAAACATTCCTCTTCATCTTCAGTTCCACAAACTGAACGCCTCCTTCTCGTCCTGGAGGCGCTCATGGATGCTGGCTGTCCCTCACAGAGGAGGAGACGAAGGAGCTGAGGAGGCAGACCAGGAGGAAGATGAGGGAGAGGAGTGGCGGGCCTGGAAGGAGTCCTGGAGAATCTGTCGATGGAAGAAACCGGATGAAGATGAGGTGATGTGCTTCTCCTCGGAGCACCGGAGTCATCGACAAGCTGGACTCAAGGAGGAGGAAGGAGAACCGGCCAGGGAGTGGACTCTGAGCTGGAAAATGAACACAGCAAAAGGAGGCGAAGATGAGGAGGAAGAGGAGGATGAGGAGGATGAGGAAGAAGAGGAGGAAAGTTGAAACGTGATCAAATATTTTGAACTGAGAGACTTTAATGATTGTGAGGAAGAAGAGGAAGCAGCCAGCTCCTTTAAATCTCTAAAACCTTCCAGAACTTTTCCAGAACTTTCTAAATCCTTCTGAACCGTCAGAGTCATTTCTGCGACACGTAGAGGAGAGCTGCTCGCTTTTATTTCACTTCCTCGACACGTAGAGGAGAGCTGTTCGCTTTTATTTCACTTCCTCTAACTTTCAGGAAAATCCCGGAAGTTCCAACAAAACACCTGAAGTAACCTCTAAGCTTTGTCACTGGTCTGTAAATGTCTGTTTATAGTTGAACAAAAATGTACATTTTACATCCAAACAGTTAATAAATGAAATAAATGATGAATTAATTAAAGTCTTATTCTCTTCATCCTAAAGAAAATAAATCAATAGTTACAAACAAAATGGTTTCCTTTCTCCTCCCATCATGTTGACCTCCTTACATCTGAATGACTGTTGGAGGGGAGAGAATGTAGTGAATTGTTGCATCTGGATGTTTAATAACAATTAATAAATTCATGGATCATGTGAATTATTCAACAAGTTGGTCCTTTGAAAAAAAAAACCCCGACTAATAAGATTAAATGCTCGAGGAGAAATAGCTAAATAGAGGTGGAGAGTTAAAACCTTGTGGAAGATCACCCTCTGGTGGTGGGATTGTGCAATCAGCATCCTCCAGGTGTCTCTGCTTCATAACAAACCATTTATAACCCCTGCTTTTACAGAAGGGCTTTTTCAAATGAATGTAATGATGGTAATAAAATTTTCCCCCTCTTAAACATAATTTAATTCCGTGCTATATAAAAAAATAAAAATAAAAAAATATATAGAACTTTATTGATCTCTCATAGAGCAAAACACTAAAAGTCATGTGACCGATACAGGAGTTTTTAAAAACGTCTCTGTCAACATGATGCATCTGCTAAAAAAAATAAATATCTCAACTTTTGTTTTCTATCGTTAAAATGATCCAGAATTTTTAGAGCAGCCTATAAGAATCGGAACGTTTCAGCCATTGCATTTTTATTTTAATTTTCTCATTTTGTTATCCGTTTCCTCTCAGTTATCACTCAACTTATCTGAATTAAAGTTAATTTCAAATTGACTCTTAGGTTGTTTAGTGTTTTTACTGAACTTATTGTTTTAAAAAATAGTAGCCCATAATCATCCTCATTCACATTTCCCCCTAAATGTTCATGTTATATGATTAAATTATCTATTAGCTGTATCTAAAAGTATCAGATATCTTTAATTTAAAAATAGATATGAAATAATACAGTATAACCTACAATAATTTAAATGATATCATTTTTCTGGGTCATCAAATCAATTCAGTTTAGTCTGTCCAATCAGCTGCCTGCAGTACCTTTAAATGTCCAGCAGGTGTCGACACCAAAACCGGATTCTAATTATTTAAGTTTTAATCAAAACCTCAAACAGCAAACATGTTGTTCTGATTGTTTGTAGATCTGTTGAAGATCTAATTTTATAATTTATCTTATGTTGGGAGTATTTTACGATGGACTGTGGCCTAAATTAAATCAATTAATTTAATACCTTAAATAGTTTGGATTTCATCTCAGTGAGTTCAATATTAGATTGTGTCAAACTGTTCAGAGATTATAGATGTTTAAAGTCCAGATATGTTCATGAAATGCCCATTAGGGTCCAGAATTGGCTGGAGATAAATCAGGCGATTTATGAGTCACTCAGTAATTATTGCTCTTATTTAATGAAGTCTTCTTCATTACCTGCAGTGATTCAAATTGTTTTTTTAATATAAATTAATTTTAAGAAGTGATTAAAATGAGAACAAGTCTTTGTGGTCTTCCTGTCCTGATCAGCAGTCCTCCTCCAGCTGCAGACTGGGAGCTTTGGGATGCAGATGTCCTGTTGTTTTCCCTCCTGCTGCTCCTCTTCCAGCTGTGTATTAGCATCAGCTCAGACTGCTTTGTGATGACAAAATGCCCATTTCCACCTCCATTTGTCCCTCAGAGCAGAGGAAGAAAGGGGGAGCGAGTCACAACTCTGCTGGTTCTTCCCTAATGACCCTTGGTGGCTAGGAGAAATGGAAGACAAAATGCTCAAAGTTTTAATAAATAAAATCATTATAAAATGATAAACATGTGATGTTTGAAATGCAGCAAAATGCCTTTACTTATTATCAGGAAAAATATATATTTTTTTCTCCCTCAAAAATGTGTTCAAAACGGGATTTAAAAATGATTTTTAAAAAGTTCCCGATAATAGAAATCATTGTTTCTCGTTATGCAGCCGACAAATACGTCCTTCTTAAGGACAGATTCTAATATATCTGCAGAGTGGGGACTATAAATCTGATATATTTATTTTTTAATTTCTATTCTGTTGTTGAATATCAGAGATTTTGCAGATATATTTTTATACATACATTGTTTATATTGGCTAATATGTTTTTGTCCCTTTTACATAATTACATTAGCTCTTATTAGTTTATGCTCCTGGTGGTTGGCACCTTTATTTCAATCTGGATTTCATGAGTGTAGTCTTTGTTCACTTTAAAATAAAAAACAAAAGAAAAAAGAAACAGTTTTGAAAAGTTTGGGATTCATTTTTTCCTATTTATGTGTCAACTCTCACGGTTGCTAAGCGACAGAGCGTACGACGGAGAAAGCCACCAAAGACTGGACCTGTTTGAATTCACAGCCAAAATTCTTTCGGTCTCCTGATTTTCAAGGACTTCGAAGGATCCAGTCCAGGTAGACCGCGTCCTTGGAAGACGCAGCCCATGAATTTGAATTCAGCCCTTTTCTGCTTCATGGTCTGCTTCCTGGTCTGCTTCCTGGTTTTCTTCCTGGTCTGCTTCCTGGTTTGCTTCCTGGTCTGCTTCCTGGTCTGCTTCCTGGTCTGCTTCCTGGTCTGCTTCCAGGTTTGTTTCCTGGTTGGCTTCCTGGTCTGCTTCCAGGTTTGTTTCCTGGTTTGCTTCCTGGTCTGCTTCCTGGTTTGCTTCCTGGTCTGCTTCCTGGTTTGCTTCCTGGTTTGCTTCCTGGTCTGCTTCCTGGTCTGCCTCCTGGTCTACAGCATCAGCTTGCTGGGAGGAGTTGCATAACAACATGATTGAGTCTTCAAGTTTGAATTTTTTTAAAGTTCTGGATACTAACTGCTCTTGAACGCGTTGTTAGAGGAGTTAGAAACAGGAAGTAGGAGCTATAATTTCCTTCCTTAGACGGTGCAACAGATAATTACTGGTGTATTCCTTGGAATATTTACAGCTCTGTGATTCAGCTTTAAACTGTAATTTGAAGGGACTGAGGTGACTGTTTCATCTCTCCACATGACAACTATTGTGTGATTTGTTTGTTTATTCTGCATTTGGCTGAATTTCTCAGCCAGCATATTTTTCTGAATGTTTCAGCAGTTTTTTTGGGGAGTCTTTATTTTAGCCGCCAGCTAACATTCAGGGGCCAGAGCTACTGCTTGTTTCTTTATCCTATTGTGTATATAGTTTTGCAGTGTCATCCATCCTAATGGTTTATTTTATCAGGGGGAGGGGGGGCTGGTGAGGTCACTGAGGGTCCAGGATACGCCCTGGACATCAGCCACAAACACACTCATTTCCAGTTCCACTGGTTTTTCTGGGCTGTGGGAGGAAACCATCTTCCATCTTCTCCAGTTTTTGGTACATTTATCTTTCTGTTCTGTTTGTCAGCCAGCAGGGAAACCAGCAGATGGTGACCAGGATGTTCGGCTGGGAGATAATGATTACAGTTATATCAGGATAAAGCTGTTCTAATACAGTCAACCATGATCTTTTGGTTTTTCATATTTCTTTGTCTGATGTTTCCCTTTTTCACATTTAAAGACGTTATAAACGGATAATTTGAGGTTAAGGTGACACCTCCACCTGCTTGCTGCTTACTGGTGAGGAACTGGATCTGGCTGCCTTATCTGACCTCCAGGTTGTAAACAGGTTAGGATCTGGGATGGATCACAGTTGCTCCGCTGCGACCCTGAGGTTCCCTCAGACTGATCTATCTCACTGGGCTCGTCCAGCCTTGGGCAGACATGACATCGTTGGCTTTCTCCTCATTAGTTTGAAAACACTACAGGCCTTTAGTCGCTCTCTCCTATTTTTTGTATTATTTGCTTCTTTTATGTAGATCTTTCCAATTCTGTATGAAAATTCTGCAAACATTCCTTATGAACAAATGAAAATATTCATTAAGGACTATTTTTGGGTGAATCAATGGTCGTTCATTTTAAACAATAGATGTTGCTCTCATGTTTCCAGAAATCAATGCATGGAGGAAAAACTGTTCTTCAGTTGAATCAAACTAAATTGAAGTCAGATTCTGGATCAAAGGAAGAGCGTTTCAAAGTTAGCATCCAGCTTCAGCTAATCTAGCTAAAATGCAGCAATCAGGCTCTAAATCTGAACACAGAGGAGCTTCTATCACCTGAAGAACATCTGCAGGATTTAAGGACTGATGTCTCAGCAGGACCTAGAAGAAATATCTTAATTAAAGGAAATATTTAGAATTTAAACTTCAGAAAGTACTTTAAATTTGAAATTACTCCATCCTGTTCAATAAATGATCAGTGTTTTTAATTCAGAGTAATTTTCATGTGAATGTGCTTTACTGGAGGCATCCATGTTTGTCAAAGAACACTACTGCCACCTACTGGTTAGTGACATTGTCACGGTGCGGTATCGGCTGTTGATCACGTCCCAGTGCTGTATCCGGTGT